GATTTGAAAGATAAAACAAGGGTCCACCAATTAAAAGACTTTTAAAGTCTCTCTCTTTCCCCACTAAACCTCTGAGTACAGAAGGCTTTAAATGCTCTGCTTTTGCAGCCCAGTGAGATTGATACTGGCATAACTACTGACAGCCCACCGCCGCCCTTTGCAAATGCAAATCAGACATGCTGTTTGGGCCATACTCTTTGGTGACTGCTTGGCACTGTTCTCAGACTAAAGTTGAAAACACAGCACTGCACCAGCTACTAAGAAGAAAAGTAATTGTTACAGCTGAGCCCAGGACACATGCACACACTGCTGTGCAACTGCAGCCAAATCAAACAGACTGCCTGCCTTTTCCTGGGTTGGGTTTTTATTCTCTGTTTTTTTAGCAGCTTCCTTTGGGGAAGCTATAGTTCTCATGAATGAAACCTTTCCTGGGGGCACCTTTCTTTTTCCCAGGGAATCTCTACTTGGTCTTCAGGGGATAGAGGTCTTAGATCCACTGGCTATCTGCTTTTGATGGGTCTAGCAGTTGAGTTACTGCTGCCTGGATACTGCTGGTTCTGGAACTGCAGAAGGAACTGCAGAAGACACTGATCCATGGGCCTCAGCTGCTCAGCTTCTATATGCCCTACAAAAAGGAATCAGTTGCTTGAACTAACATGGAGAAGACACTTGCTGGGCAGCTTTCAACAACAGCACTGCAGCAGGCTAATGACAGCAGAATCACAGACTAAGTAATAAAGAAAGTTTATTTTATGACTGCCTTTTATCTCAATCCAAGCAGTTCCTTTCGCATTGTCCACAGAGTAGTGACAGAGAGCGAGCACAATCCCACACCCAGCATCTCAGCACTGAGCAGACAGGAAAGTCTACTTGCTGAACTCAGCTAAGGCTAAATGTTCGTAAAGATACAATCATTTTTTCCTGGAGTCAGAGTTGAAACTACAGGTATTTGTGTGTGCTGATGCCAGTCTGCTCAAGTATTGCCACTGCCAGGACTTGCTTGGAATTGCACATAACATGTCTGGCCTAATCCTGCCTTCCAGCTATGATAGGAACATTGGAAGGGCATGCACCTACCTCTCCCCTTCACAAGTAGGTGCTTTGCTGCCTTTCAGGGTGTTGCCTTCTGGAATTGGTGTTCTCCGGACAGAATCAGACCTTTCTTGTTCTTGTATGTGCCCTGGCAAAAAAAGGTGACCTGCCCCATCACGGGATCATCTATGGGGACACAAAGCATCATCCTAAAGCAGAGGGACTGTACCAGTTGAAAACCTGGCTCTACTTAGGACTGTAAGGATGGGGTGATGATTTTCAAATTGGAGGCACTGCTGATATTCAGGATGAAGAAGCAACTTTCTCTTGGGTGCCCCACACATCTTCTGCAAAGGCTATAGGGAGAAGAGATCCACTGCTCCCTTGCATAGAGCAGTTTCATCTTCATATGCTTTTGTGTCCCTTGGGAAAAGGGAGGTAAGCTGTTTCTAAAGTTGATGCAGCACATAAAGGAAGCTGGCTCACTGACGACATGGTCCAAATGTGTCTATAGGGACTAAAAAGGGTTCCCAGATGCTGTGGCTGTGCTTTGAGGCATCTTCAGAGCCTTGTGCTGCCTCTTCTAGGAAATGGCCTCAAGCTGCACCAGGGGGGGAGGTTTAGACTGGATATTAGGAACAATTTCTTCCTCAAAGGGTGGTCAGGCATTGGAACAGGCTGCCCAGGGCAGTGGTGGAGTCACTGTCCCTGGAAGTGTTCACAAACTCTGCAGATGAGGCCCTTAGCGACATGGCTTAGTGGTGGCCTTTGCAGTGCTGGGGAGTGGTTTGGACTCTATCTTAAAGGTCTTTTCCAGCCTCAACCCGGTTGATTCTGTGATTTGGTGTTCAGCCAGCTGTGCTTCACTTTCAGTCCTGCTGGAAATTAAGCCTGTAAGGGAAGGACCAGAGCCCAACCCCCTGAAAGAATCATAGCTGGGCCTCCCATTCAGTCATCCCAGAAGAGATCTTAGCGCGAGGATGCTGCACAGCATGTTTTTGCTGATGAGCAACTGTGAGCTTGAAAAGAATTCCAGCTTCTAACTGGAGGGAAAGCAAGCCTTCTTGTTGCCCTCATTCCCTGGTGGTTCCTCTTACTGCTGGCTCTGCATGGGGCAACTCCTGTTCTCCACTTTTGCAGCAGTAGCAAAAGCTGATATGTGGCTTGTAGCTGAAAAGTCTGCCCTCAAGTACTGTATCTTACAGGGATTGTGGAGTGGCCTGACTCAGGTGGGTGTATTGGCCTAGAATGGCTTTGCAGGTACCATGAAGGGATATGCATTCATCCATGCAGAGGAGGATGGAAGTGGCTGAGCAGCTCTTGGCACTCACGGTGAAAATAGATTCTGATTTGTAGGAGCAGCAGAGGGAAGCAGAAGGAAGAACTGTTTTGTCCAGCCATGAGGTGGAGGTGGGTTTAGGGCTCCATTGCCAGGTTGTCTATGCCCACTTTGCTTCTGGGAATCTAGTTGTTTTGGAAAAAGATGTGTCATTGTAAAGAGGACGGGAAGGAGTTTGCACTTGCATGAACACACAAATTAAAATGGTCTCCATATTTGCGCTCAAGCTCAGGTACCTCCCTCCCTCAGAACAGTGCAAAGGTCCTGGGCGTGTCTGTGCCTGCCCAAGCACGTCCAAGCTTATTCTCTCTTGCCCATTACGTTCCCTCTGTGAACATCCCCCCTTGGTGGCTGGGCTGTGTTTCCCCTGAGACAGGAGTGTGTCTCTGCAGGGGAGAGCAGGGTTTGTC